TCTGGGAAGAATAAGAGGCTGCCACAGTTGAACCTACCAGTTCTACCGTTACCAATGCCATGCACTCCTCTACTTCTGAATTTCTAAATTTTCTCTAAGAAATAATTAAAAGCCCTCTTTCTTTCAAGGGCATAATTCCAGCAATATTTTCGTCTTTCTCCTGTATTATTTTTAAAAATCCTGTTTGATCTCTATAGGATCTTTCATATCAGCACTCAAAGCTGCTTCTCTTTCATCTGAAAGAAATGTTCTCTTGCTTTCACTTTTCCTTTCAGCTATTGATAGTGCTGTCTTCTAGTTTATGACCATATTTCCTCTAAGTGTCATCAAACCTGCATCTTATTTCTTTCATCTCATTTCTTTATTACACTCCTTCATCTTGCCTTCTTCCCCAACACTCCACTTAAACTGATCTTTTACATTTCACTAGTTGAAATGGCTATGTTAGTCCTCAACTTACATGATTTCTCAACACTATTTGATATATTGGATCTCTCTCTCCTGTTAGAAACTGCTATGGTCTGAAAATGTTGCCCAAAATTCTTATGTTGATAGTTAATTGCCATTGTGATAATCTTAATAAGTATGAAAACAGTGGCCAATATGTAGAGCCATCTCTCCATATGCAGAATGCAGGTCTGGGAGTCAAGGGGAAGAGGTGTGCGTTGCTCTTCTCATTATTACTCAGTGATCCATTTGGACAATTTTGGATCCTATCCCTATGACCTTGATTGAGCTCTGAGGGAATGGGTGTCTTTGTGCCCAGTGGATGTTTCCACTAAGGAGCACTGCCACCTTTCAAAACAACTGAAACCTGAAAACTGCCTCTGGCCATTTTAGCCTCTTTATGCCATTGAACCAATATGCAGGGAAATGTGTCCCTCTACTTGAAGTGATGGCTCCCAATTTCTACAAGGTAGTTTGGTGTCTGCCATACAATGGAGGTTAAAAAACAAAACAAAACAAAAACCACTACTCATGCAGGGAAGTCTCTAAATGTTAACCACAAGCGATGGTCAATTAAAAATCGTGACAATGGAACAAATAACAAGACCACAAGGATACAGATCCCACAGGAATAAAGGCCTATTTTATACTACCGTGTAAAGAATCCAGCCGACATGCTGACACAGGTCAGGATAACAAGCAATGAATTTTATTTTTATATATGTATTTTTGAGATAGGGTCTCACCTCATTGCTCAGGCTGCAGTGCAGTAGAATGATCATGGCTCACTGCAGTCTCAACCTCCCGGGCTCAGGTGATTCTCCTACCTCAGCCTCTCTGGTAGTTGGGACTACAGGCATGTGCCACTAAGCCTCGCTAATTTTTCGTATTTTCTGTAGACATAAAATCTCGGCATTTTGCCCAGTCTCATGAAATCCTGAGTTCAAGTGATCTGCTCCCCTCAGCCTCCCAAAGTGCTGGGAACACAGGCGGGAGCCACCGCGCCTGGCCCACTTCCCTGTGTGTGTGTGTGTGTGTGTGTGTGTGTGTTTTTTTTTTTTTTTTTTTTTTGAGACAGAGTTTCGCTCTTGTTACCCAGGCTGGAGTGCAATGGCGCGATCTCGGCTCTCCGCAACCTCCGCCTCCTGGGTTCAGGCAATTCTCCTGCCTCAGCCTCCCAAGTAGCTGGGATTACAGGCACGCGCCACCATGCCCAGCTAATGTTTTGTATTTTTAGTAGAGGCGGGGTTTCACCTTGTTGACCAGGATGGTCTCGATATCTTGACCTCATGATCCACCCGCCTCGGCCTCCCAAAGTGCTGGAATTACAGGCGTGAGCCACCGCGCCCGGCCGTGTGTGTTTTTTTTTTAAAGGTTCATTCTCCTCTCCTTTGTGCCTCAAATATTCATTCTGAAGTTTCTGCAGTACGGGGCAAAGGTGGATTATTTCCCAGTACAGGAAAAGTGAAGAGATTTGCTGAATTTGGAATAGGGAAAGCCAGGGGAAGAATCTCCTACTTCCTTTGTAATTGTTTTCTATCGTCTTCCATATGCAATGATTGAGGCATTTAAAACTCTTACAGGAATATGTCAAATTAATAAACATTTTTAGAAAGTCTGTAAACTTTCTCATTTCTCTAAAAAGAAAACACACCCCTTTAAATTCCCTGATGAAAGTAAGAGAGCCACTGGCCATGGTGGCCTATGCCTCTAATCCCGGCACTTTGGGAGGCCAAGGCTGGAAACCGAGAGGTGGAGGTTGCAGTGAGCCGAGATCGCGCTATTGCACTCTAACCTGGGCAACAAGAAAATTCCGTCTCAAAAAAAAAAAAAAAAAGCAAAAGAGCAATACCATCTATGCATGGTAAAGTCAGTCTCACAAATACCTTAACGTTGATATTTATATTCATGTTAATATGTCATAGACATAGAAATACACAGCCCAGATCCTCCTTCAAGGAAGGACTTGCAGCTCAGCTGCAGAGAACACAGTTAGCAGACAGGCACCAGCTTCTTCGGTGTTTGCCTCAGCTGCAGAGCTCCTCCCTACTCAAGGTGGCCTCCTTCCCCAGGGCAGTCCTCATTCAGTCACCCACAAAGGGGTTAAAAAGAGTGGTCTAGAGCCCCTCTGGCCCAATGTGGGCGCAACTTGACAGGCATACTGGCTCCAGAGCTCTCCGCTGGGTTGGTTGAACATTTTTCTGGCCCGTATCAGTTTGACATTTTCCTCTGCGCAATCCTATTTCCTTCACCCCTTCACAGATGCTGATACTTAATATAACATTTTGCATCCCAAACATCACCTCAGCATCTGTTTATGGAGAACCCACGTTACTACATTACAATTTCTCTTGCTGCATCCGTTGCATTTTACTTTTTAATCGGGCCTCTGTATTAAAGACTAGGAGTACGCAAAGACTGCGAGTAGCAAACAAATCTATGTGTACTGAATTATAGACTATGTCCTCTTAAATCTCTGTGAACTACAGCAAGTTTATACTTTTTTTTGGTGTTCTTGCTTTTAGGTGGCTTGAATTCACACAGGAAAAAATAAAGATGTATACATGTAATATTTCAAATAATATATATCTCCCAGAGGGAGAGAGCATAATGGGGCCCTCCATTTTAGACAGGAGATAAGCGAAAATTACCTCTTTAAATGTGTTACTTGATCAGAGACCTACATAGACTGAAAAAAAGTGAGACAGGTAGCTATCAGGGGAAGAGGGAATTGAAAGTGCAAAGGCCTTAAGATAGAAAATGTGTTTGGCCTTTTATGGGAATAGACAGAAAGCCTTGAGACTATAAAATAAAAGCAAGTAATATCAAGGAGGGGAGGGGAGAGGGGAACCTCACAGGGCTTCCTAGGGTAAGTAGATTAATATGGACAAGCAATCAAAAGCAATAGCAATCCTGATCTAATAAATCTGTTAACACAAATTAGCTAGACAGAAAAAGGTATGCTGTACCCTAAGCTACTAGAAGAGTGCATTAATACACGTGTTCCAAAGAAGTAGGACTAAGTATTTACCAGCATGGGATTCAGGAAACTCTGCATCCCATACTCTCCTGCCATCAGGATCCAATTCTAATGCAAATGGTTACTAGATTTTCATCACCTTGGTAAAGTTACTCTGAAGAGTTAGACTACTGAAGAATCAGGCTGCCCTTTCCCAGTACTTTCCAAGGATAGTACTTAAAATTGCAAAATTTGACTTTAAAGAGTGTTGAGTATGTTACATTTTTATGGCTGTTTGACAACACTATTAATGTAATAGAATTATTACACTGCAGGCCAGGTCTGATGGCTCACGCCTGTAATCTCAGCACTTTTGGGAGGCCGAGGCAGGTGAATCACCTGACATCAGGAGTTCGAGCAGCCTGGTCAACATGGTGAAACCCCGTCTCTACTTAAAATACAAAACACTAGCCGGGTGTGGTGGTACGTGCCTGCAGTGCCAGGTACCTGGGAGGCTGAGACAGAATGGCTTGACATGGGAGGTGGAGATCGTAGTGAGCCAAGATCGTGCCAGGGCACTCCAGCCTAGGCGACAGAGCGAGACTGTCTGAAAAGAAAAAATAAAACCATTACACTGGAATTAGAATAGATTTCAGACTTAACGTTTGACTTCCCTTTTTGCCCGTGCTGAATAAGCTTCTCCTGTGTATTCTACACTAACTTGTGGGTCTCTAACCTTTCAGTGGGTTTGAGTTGCTGCAGCCCAACCCCAAAAAAAGCACTTTACCATGTGATCATGTAATGAGACAAAGATTAAGTGAAACAAACAGGACTGTGCCCAGCTTTCTTTAGGACAGCGTTAAGTGGCTCTGAAAAGAGCCTTTGTTTTTTAGCTTTCACAATCTCGCTCCTTACTTGGCCTTGTGGTGGCTCTCGGTCTTCTTGGGCAGCAGCACGGCCTGGATGTTGGGCAGGACACCGCCCTGCGCGATGGTGACCTTGCCCAGCA